TTAACTTAGTTCTTTCTCCAGCATAGCGATGACGTCTACTTGGGCAACAAAAGATGGACCTTTTTGTTCAGAACCCTTTCCGGCAGCGGCAGACTCCAAGTTATCATTTTTATAGTGATTGTGCTGCTTGAAAAGCTTGATATTGTGATATCTAGTTTGGCTTGCTTGAAATGATTGCATCAAATGAAATGCTTGAGTTGCATGATTTTGGAGATGGATTGTTTCTTCTGAAAATTTATCAGTATATGTTTAAATTTGAATAGATGACATGCTCGTGCTGCTTTTACAAGTATGGCATATGGCATGATAATATATATTTTATTGTGAAATCTAAAAAGGTAGGAAAGGAAAAAAAAAAAGATTCTCTTATCTTTGGCCTCCAATAGAGAGCATGTGGATTGTGGGACCGACATTGGCATAGAAAGTCAGGGCATCCTATAGGCAGTGCCAAAGATGGAGGAGATGCAAGCAGTGTTCCGAAGAGGACTTGTTCAATTTTTAGTTGAAGCACATGCGTAGTTTTGTGCCAGATATAACTATATTGTTCTTGAGTTAGTCAAGTCTCCTCTATTGGCCAGAGAAGATGACCTCTCCGTATCATATGCTTGGCTTGTGTTTGGCTTCTTCTTCTTTTTGAAAAAATTTGTTTGGCATGAAACTATCAAGTATTTTGGGGTTTGCATGTGTAGTTTGCTCAAAGGCATGAATGATGGATTTACCAAAGCCCTCAGCCCTCTTACAAGATTTTGTTTTGCTTGAGAATGGAGATCTAAGGCACAAACAAAGGGAGCATGTGAGCAATCTATATCATGTTTGTTTTGCAAAGTAGATAGCCAACAAAAGGGAAAAAGAAAAGAAAAGAGGGAATATTCTTATCTCTTTATTTTCTCTGGTTTATTTCTTCTGGTCTTCTTCCTTAGAGGCATAGGTGAAGATAACGGCCTGACCCCCAGTGAAGTCGTCAATTTATGTAAAGGCTTTTTTCTTCCGGCAGCTACAAATGGGTTTGGACGCCGTAAAAGGGAAATTGCTGAAATTGCCCCCTGTGTCTAAGTTCCCAAATAAGCGCTTCGAAAGGGCAATAGAGCCTTAGGAAACGTTCTGGTTACCTTCACCAAAGAAAATAAAGGCTGCTTACATATGATTTCTTGATGCTTACAGATAAACTTTTAAGCTTGGCATGAGAGGTATGTCGCATGGAATCAAAATTAGCATGAGTTGAGCGCCAAAAAGGAAATATGGCTTTCTAGGGAGAAAGAGGAGTGTTTAAGGTGAGGAAGAAGAGGTTTGCAAGCAGATGGCTGAGAAGAGGAAAAGAAAGAACTATGTTCTTCCTACAGCTTGCCAAAAGAAGAAAATGGGGAATGAGGTGCACGAGGTTGTTGGGCTTTTGCAGGTAAAAGAGGAAGCTTGTTCTCCAGGCGTGGGTTGAATTTGTTAGGTAGGAGAAGCCTTAATTTATAGCCGCTGGAAACCACCAATTTTCAAGAAACCCTAATGGCTTCTACCCATTTTGGCTAAGTTTTTCCCTCCTTTCTATCTCCTCCCATGGCTTTCCCCATTTTAATGAAATCTCTTCTATCTATTTGCACCAGATCAGAGTTTTTGAAGCTCAATGCCCCTTTTTCCCACAACTGTCTCAATGGTAGACTTCCATTCCCAGCCATCTCTTTTATTGCTTTCTTCTCTTTTTTCCATGGCCAAGTCTGATGGGGGAACGAATTGGGGTATGTATGCTGGTTCGAAGAGTGCTTCTCTTCCTGGCAGCTTACATGCTAATATCCCTTGGGTCCTTGCATGTTTCTTTTGCTTTGAAACTTGTTTCTTCCTTCCTGTTAACCAACGTGGTCTTCCATGGCTTCTTCATGGTTTTATCCTTCAACCAATAGATGGGGTTTGTTTGCTACCTCTATTTGTATGGGTTTTCTAGGATAGGAAGTCAACCCTCTAAACAAATGGGCCACTCCTATCAAATATTGGGATATATGGGTTAATTTTAGTGGATCATTTTGGTTGGGCTTTTTGGTTGGGCTATTTTGGTTGGACTATTTTCCCATTTTGTGCTCACCCATATGTTTGGGCCTAAAAAATGGGCTTGGGTTTCGAGGCTCCCAAGCAACCCAGAACCTCCACTTCTCAGTCCATAAATGGGCCTCATGACAATTTAGTACCATCCATACCACAATCCACTCAAGCAAGCCCCGGGCATTTGAGTGGCTTGGGCCCATTTAGGCTTATAGCGTGGTTGGATGTGAGATAACAATTTTGTGCTTGGCATGGCATGTCGCTTGGCATATTTTAATTTTATCATCCTTGGGAAGGACTGCGATGTTTAATTTCGGCATGGGCTTGTAAAGCCAATATACTTTATCTCAACCCCTAACATGGCGAATTTATTTAGCATGGCACGTGAACTACAACTCGCATGTGGCGAGTTTTCGTGTACTCTGCTTAATGCTTTTTCTTAATGGAGTGTCGTTTTGGGCTGATAATTTATTCGGGCCCAACATGGATTTTTTGGGCCTCAACAATCAGAAGCATCAGTGCCAATTATCCAAGTATTGGAGCCAGTACCTAAAATATAGCCAGAAACACACAAATTTGCAGAAGTAGCAGCAACAGCACCAATAATGGAGTTATACCCATGATTGCAGCAGAAACTCAATAGCTCACGACAAAGTACACAGTGGAACACAGCAGAAGCACAAATACAACAAATGCACGAAGATAGGCACGAACACAATAGAGGCACGAACACGGCAGAGTAAATAGTGGAACATAGCAGAGGCACAAATATGGCAGATGCACAAAGATAAGAATGGCACGAACACAGTAGAGGCACGAACACTACAACACAACACACAAACTCAAGAGGGCACACACATCATAGGAAGGAAAAAAAAATAAGGGGCTAAAACACGGGTAGGCACAACACACAGGTCACCAGAAAGTCGGCTCTGATGCCAAATCAAACAGTATGGGTAGAATATTTTCAGATATATTTCATTCTCCAAAATGAGGTATTTATAATACAAAGTTGTAACCCTAGTAGGGTTATACAAGGAAATAAGATAAAATCCTAATTACACAATATTTGTACAAAAAAGTAAGAAATAGAGTTGTAATAGACTAGGAAATAAATCTCATGATTAATCTAGGATCTCACTAATACTATTTTCTCCAAATTCTCCATGAAGAATCATGGCAATCTACACTACTTTCTTGGCATCGAAGCTACTCATACATCCAATTCTCCCTTCCTCTCACAAACCAAATATGTCACATTCCTTCTTTCCAAAGCTAAATTGCTCGAAGCTAAACCTTGCGCTACTCCATATTCCACCACCAAAAATGACACTATATGTGGATATCTCCTTGATGATCCCAACCTCTACATATCGCTTGTTGGAGCCTTACAATATCTCCACTTGGACCAGACCTGATATTGCTTTCTCAGTAAATCAAGTTTGTCAGCATATGCATCATCCTCGAACTCCTCATCTTACTGGAGACAAACGGATCCTTCGATAAGTTAAAGGCACACCACAGTAAGGTCTACTTCTCACAAAAGGTCATCAAGATCTCACTGACTTCTCTGCTGGAGATTGGGCTAGTTGTCCAATTGATCGCAGGTCCGCCACTGGGTATTGTATCTTCTTTGGTCACAACCTTATATCCTAGAGTGCCAAGAAACAACCTACCATTGCAAGATCTTCCACAGAGAGTGAGTATCATGCTTTATCTTAAACTGATACTGAAATTACTTGGTTATGTTTCCTTATCAAAGATCTCCATTTCTTTCTACCAAACCCTCCATTGCTTTTCTCTGACAATATGAGTGCCCTTGCTTTCTCTCAAAATCCATCTTTCATGCTAGAAGAAAGCATATGGAAATAAACTACCATTACATCTGTCAATTGGTCACTAGTAACTCCATTTCCATCAGCCACATTTCCTCTCTCCTCACCAAATAGCTGACATTTTCACCAAATGCAAATTTGAGCAGTTCAGTTACCTATATGCCGCAACTTAGCTTGAACGGGGATGATAAGCCACGAAATGTTCAAGACACCTAGCTTCATAACAAAGGACAAGAAACCACTCAAGACACCCAAACTTGTCCACACCAGCAGCCATCTCATGAAAACCAACTTGGAAAGGATATGGATGATCACAAGCATATTCCTTTCTTGATATATATATATATATATATATATATTCATTTTTGGTAAATACATAGATAGGAGGAAAAACTGCAGCCTTGTAAACCTAGCTAGACAATTCTTCGAATAGTAATGAACAAATTCCTTTTCACACAATCAGATTTGGTCTCTCTCTTTAGTAAGAATCTCAACAATAAATGTCTAAATCTATAAGAAATTAAGCCGATAGAAATTTATTGTCTTTTTTTTAATTTCCTTGTAAAACCAATGTAGATGACTTTTGTTTAAATGAAGTTTATGTTCAATATTCTCATCTCATATTACTTAAGTTTTTAGTTTTGTTATTGGTTTACACATTTAAAATGAGGGGATTTAGTTGGATTGGCCTAGATCTTTGGTGTGCTTCCAAGTAATCATAAGAGTTGATGTATAAATGTAAACGAAAGTAACTTTTCCTTTCACAAAACACGCGTGAAGTAAAACTTCCAACATCATGTCAATTTTATTCATAGTACACAACATCACTTCCATTTCCAAAATTAAACACTCTTCATAGCTGATTGTTCTATAGTACAACAATAAGTAATTATTTTAGAAGCCAAAGAAATACCACTTGAGGCATGAATATTGACAACATCACTAACGCATATAGGATTTGAAGCTAGTAACGTTATCCATGATATACATAGCTGAGTAAATCTTCAAAACCCTATTTTTGAGTAGCCATGATTCTACCATTTGAAGCTTTTCGTTGCTGTTGAATTTCAGTTGGGACCTTGGCATCTGTCGCCAATCCAATAGCTTGAAGAAATCTTATTACGTACCAAGTAATATCAATTATTGCCACCATTCCAACCCATGTCTAGCTGAGTATTCAAAAGCACGGTGGTTATTATGCCATCCTTCTCCAAGCGTAATAATTGACATCCACCTAAATTATTAAAAATATATCACGTACATAAAACAAGTTAATATCCCAATTTTACATTTAGCAAGGATGAAATATAGCAGAGTGCGGAATAGATCCGATATACCAATTGTTTGTAGACATGTCACCGGTGTTCCATGGTTTCTTTCCCCACATGTGGCCAACTGAATTTATTATGAGAGTGGCGTGGAAAAGAAGTACTGTCCTCACCCCCTGAAATTACAAGGAGTTTGGATTTAGGACAGGTTTGGATGTAGAAGGTGAAAGATGGTATGTATATACTTGTTTAGCTGAATAGGGAAATTTTTAAAAAGAAATTTAAATTTTGGGGTCGTAAAAATTAAAGGAATTATTTAAAGTAATTTAAGAATGAAAATATCGGTTCATGTATTTACTTTATTACTTGCATTTTTTTTTTTATATCAAGGACAAATATCTTTTCTCATACTGTATGTATTCTCGACCAGCCTGAAATTGATGTACAACAGAAAGGAAAGAAGGTGAACCCCGATCATATGAACCAACACCAAAACTAGTGCTACGAGTAAATTAAGGCTCCAACATGAAAAATATGAATAAAATACCTACGTTTATTATTCGGTAAAATTATTATTTAAAAAATACTGCAAAAAATTGGGTCATTATAAATAGTTTCATATTAATTATTTTAAAAAAAAATTAATATGTATTATTTCTATTCAATAATATGTATAAAATAAAAATACTTGTATAATATGTGAGTTTTATCTATTTTATTTTTAAAAATTATAAAATGTATAAAACGTGACAAATATGTGCTTATGTGTACAATATGTTTAATCACTCGCGGAACCACTCTAATGGTTGTGGTGGGCTATAGCCTAGGGAAGTTTTTGGGAAAGAAAAAATAAACAAGCCTATAAACGAGTTATTTTAAATATAGCCCAGTATGTATTAACTTATTAAAATTCAAAAAAGTCCAAATTTTTTATGAATTGAGTTGTAGGGCAGCAATGAAAATACATATTAGCAATCAAAACTTGCTTATTGATTCAGATTCAAAAACAAAAAAAAATTAATTCTATCAAGGATTGCATAGCACAACTTGAATAGATACACTGTTAATTCTATTGCTGAACATATTTTAATTTTGATACCATGAATTTTTTTTGTCTCGTTTAGTATATATTTGTTTTATGTTTTATTGAAAAGCAGTCAATGAAACTACGAACTAACGTGGTCTATGTGATTTAATATTGCACTTTTATTTATAGAACAACTAGTAGAAATGGTAAGTAAAAATAATAATCATTAGATTTTAAGTTAGCCCACCCGTTGAAAAATTCATAATTTCACCCTTATGTTTAGTATTAAAATACGTGTATATTGTATCTTATTTTTTAAGAGTCAAGGAATGATTAACAGAGAGTGATTATTTAGGAGAAGAACTAAGGTACATTAATGAGTAAGCGATCTCACCACTGCCCAGACCAAGAAGGGAAATCCACCCACAGCATATAGTAAACCTCCAAGAGCAAATGAACGTAGAAAGTTAGTACGAAAAAGAAACCTATAGAAGGGCTGCTTCTTTAATTCTTCAACGTTCTTCAGTCCACCAAGCTGTAAATTTCTCATTTAAAAAGTAAATAAAATAAGTATATATACGTATCAGTTGGTGTGTGCAAGAGAGAGAGAGAGAGAGAGAGAGAGGGAGGATTATGTGTGTTTTTCACATGTTCACATCGACGACGACGGGTATCAAAGATCCAACCAATGTGACTATGCCATAAGCTCAGGATGGGGCTGTGAGGGTCCTTCTCTGTGTCAGTAAACTGATGGTGGTACCGATGGTTACTCAGAGCATTCATAGTGAAGAGGCGTATATGGGGGTGTATGTTAAATATACACCCCGAGTCACCGGATTCGTCTCCAATAGGGAGATGTAAATGGATGTAAATATACATCACCACCATGGGGATGTAAAATAAAATGTATATTTACATCTATTTTTACATCTCTTGCATGAGGGACCCACCCGAGAAAAGAGAAGAAAAATGAAGAAAAGTCAACATAAAAGACTGGGAGTCACGATTACACCCCCGAATTTACACCCTCCCATTATAGCAAAAAACATATTTACACCCCCCGGAGGTGTAAAAGGGATGTAAAAGTGGCTTTACACCCCCGAATTTGCATCCCCCACTGTGGATGCTCTCACCCATTCAATTGGACTACCCTGAAAATCCAAACACACCAACAAATCCTTGAATAATATATGTACATTTTTTCATTATAACCTTTTGATTAAGTGCGTTATCATAGATAGAAGTATAGAATAATATAGTGAAAGTTATAAATATTACCGAGATTATACATAACATGAAATAACTAATTTTTTTACACATGTCCTGTTACTATGTTTTTCTCTGTGTGGGTGTAATTCATTTTCTTAAAGTAAAAAAGTCATTACCAAGATTACCTTTCATAGAGGTGAAACAGAATGTTCAAATTTTGTAACAGTTTTTGTCTCTATGGAATCCACTTAAGCATAAAAGCGGGACCCACAATTTTCCGCATATGCTCGTCTTATTAAAGGAGGGGGCAATTTGTAGAGTTTATTCGAATTTGTGTATGCGATTATATGATAGTTCATGCCTTTAAAATATATTTAAAATTTAGGGACTTTTCTATACTTTTAAGCATAATAAGCATTTCCGAACATATATATACACACACCTGAAGTGACAGAACACCACAATAGGCAAAGAGGTACTCGAGCCATTTTGGAAGCCTCAAACCTCTGTGGGTAAGACTTCTATGGTAGCACAGCGTGAGTCCTAAACCCGTCACAACGTACAAAGTGACGGCCACCCAAAATGCAGGCCAATTGAAATGAAAGGGCGCAAATGCACAAAGAGAATGCAAGGCCAAAATCACAGCCAATGTGAATATGTCTTGTATGTTCCATGTCCTCCCCCAAAACTCTCCACATGACTTCATAAAAAACATGCCCAAACTGCTTCTTTAATTCTTCAACGTTCTTCAGTCCACCAAGCTGTAAATTTCTCATTTAAAAAGTAAATAAAATAAGTATATATACGTATCAGTTGGTGTGTGCAAGAGAGAGAGAGAGAGAGAGAGAGAGGGAGGATTATGTGTGTTTTTCACATGTTCACATCGACGACGACGGGTATCAAAGATCCAACCAATGTGACTATGCCATAAGCTCAGGATGGGGCTGTGAGGGTCCTTCTCTGTGTCAGTAAACTGATGGTGGTACCGATGGTTACTCAGAGCATTCATAGTGAAGAGGCGTATATGGGGGTGTATGTTAAATATACACCCCGAGTCACCGGATTCGTCTCCAATAGGGAGATGTAAATGGATGTAAATATACATCACCACCATGGGGATGTAAAATAAAATGTATATTTACATCTATTTTTACATCTCTTGCATGAGGGACCCACCCGAGAAAAGAGAAGAAAAATGAAGAAAAGTCAACATAAAAGACTGGGAGTCACGATTACACCCCCGAATTTACACCCTCCCATTATAGCAAAAAACATATTTACACCCCCCGGAGGTGTAAAAGGGATGTAAAAGTGGCTTTACACCCCCGAATTTGCATCCCCCACTGTGGATGCTCTCACCCATTCAATTGGACTACCCTGAAAATCCAAACACACCAACAAATCCTTGAATAATATATGTACATTTTTTCATTATAACCTTTTGATTAAGTGCGTTATCATAGATAGAAGTATAGAATAATATAGTGAAAGTTATAAATATTACCGAGATTATACATAACATGAAATAACTAATTTTTTTACACATGTCCTGTTACTATGTTTTTCTCTGTGTGGGTGTAATTCATTTTCTTAAAGTAAAAAAGTCATTACCAAGATTACCTTTCATAGAGGTGAAACAGAATGTTCAAATTTTGTAACAGTTTTTGTCTCTATGGAATCCACTTAAGCATAAAAGCGGGACCCACAATTTTCCGCATATGCTCGTCTTATTAAAGGAGGGGGCAATTTGTAGAGTTTATTCGAATTTGTGTATGCGATTATATGATAGTTCATGCCTTTAAAATATATTTAAAATTTAGGGACTTTTCTATACTTTTAAGCATAATAAGCATTTCCGAACATATATATACACACACCTGAAGTGACAGAACACCACAATAGGCAAAGAGGTACTCGAGCCATTTTGGAAGCCTCAAACCTCTGTGGGTAAGACTTCTATGGTAGCACAGCGTGAGTCCTAAACCCGTCACAACGTACAAAGTGACGGCCACCCAAAATGCAGGCCAATTGAAATGAAAGGGCGCAAATGCACAAAGAGAATGCAAGGCCAAAATCACAGCCAATGTGAATATGTCTTGTATGTTCCATGTCCTCCCCCAAAACTCTCCACATGACTTCATAAAAAACATGCCCAAAAGCCCCATCTTAAATATATATATATATATATATATATATAATTCTGATGATCTGAGTTTGGCAAAAGAAGATGGGCATTGTGGAGAAGTATACTACGTACCTTGCTTCCTTGCAAAACAAAGCATCTGCTAAAAAACATGTGTTGGTAGCTTTAGACTAGAGTGGAATCGCATATGATGAGTGGTGATTAGTGGGGTCAATAATTGGACCTCAATGGAGGTTCGAAGAAAATAGGCCCGGCCCTCACATAATATAGCTTCGTAATTTAATACCTTAACTTTTCTTTTTTGATCTGAATAACTTACGGACTTCTTGTCATCTCAATGTGTGCACCACAAGTGCATAGGGATGGCAATTTCTTCCGTGGGTAAGGGTCTACACGGGAATTCGACCCTAATGAGTCGGGTATGAAGGACAAAAACACGTATGGGGAAGAGTACGAGGAATTTTTTAGGTATGATGTTCGAGGAGGGGCGGAGATGGTATTTTAATCCCCAACTTGAACCCTCCCCGTTTAGTATATATATATTATAGTATATATAAATATGTTATTATAGTATATTTTCTATTATTATATTATGTACTTATATAATGTATACAAATACCACACAACTTATTTATTTAGTTAACTTAATGTCCACATATAAACATTCTTATATTATCTTATTATCTTAAGCCATACAACTCATTATCTTGCCTTAATACTTCTTCTTTCTTCTTTTTTCAACAAATTAGTTATAATTGGTTATTTCTTCCGTAAGAACCCATTCACCAATGAAGGTGGGAATGGGGAATCCCCAATATGAATATTGCAGGTATGAAGGGGGGATGAGGGAAAAAAGCTTAACGGGGATAGGGATGGGGATGGGAATGGCATACCCACCCCAATTCAACCCATTGCCATCCCTACAAGTGCAAGAACACGATGCTAACCTCTTTGTATGTGCTCCCGTGTGTGTGCGACATTATTTTTTCTTCATTTTATAATCATGCGTGACTTAAAATTCTCTTATTTTATTGATTATAATCGCAATAGGTTTGAAGGAACATTTTCTGTGAAAATTATTCAAACTGAAAGTTTGGGAGGGGGTGGGGAGGGTTAGGGTGGCCATCCCTAGTGGTGAGAGTGGTGGTGCTAGTGAACCCAAGATATAGGGTCATTAATAACTAATCTAAACTGAAAAAATAGTAGGGAGAAGCATGATTTTGTCAACTTTGGTATTTCCTTCAAAATCAAAGATTTTTTCAATACACCTAAACTTTTGTAGGGATGGAGGAGGGTGGTGGTGGTGGTGGAGAGTTACCCTTTAATGAGCTCAATCAAAGTATACTATCAAGAATCACATGCTTTACCATATCAATTATTCTTCCCTATCCTTAATGAGCTCAATCTTCTCCTTCCTTTTTCACCCTCCCCACGGCTCTTATCACAAACCCTCTTCTAAGACTCATTTCTATGGATGTCATATGTCCAACGGTCCAACAAACCCCTATACCTCCTGAATCCCAGATGTAAACAAAAACAAAACCACATATGTATTGGAATATAAGACAAATAAAAGCGAAACCAATCAACAATTTGAAGGAATAAATAATGAAAGAAAGCGGGAGAATTGGATGAGCATTTAGAAACCACATTAGTTATAAGGAGGAGCTCCTTCTCAGTTTCAAGGAGCCAAATTTTTTCCCGTATACATACATATGTAGACTCAAGATTAATTAATAAATAATATTGTTTTTGTAATCTTTATACTTTATGTTCTTTTTCTTAAGGAATATACTTTATGTTCTTTGAAAAACGATAACAGTGTTTGGGTGTGGTCTTAAATCCCAAGTCGAGACCCCAAGTCCAAGTCGAGATTTCAAGTTCAAGTCGGAACTTAAATCTCAAGTCCAAGTGGCGACTCCAAGTCCAAGTCGGGATTTACACTCCAAGTCAAGACCAAAGCACCCTGCAGAAATAAATGATAAACAAAGAGTGGGGTTTCAAAGTACATAACTATTAAAAGGCCAATATGGCTTGGTGATATTGGCATAATGACATATCATATATGGACTAGCATCTTTTTGATAAATTAACATACAAACATTCACTTCATATATATATATATATAGCTTCTATTGAGGGACATTCTTTGTAGAGCCCACTCCGGATTGTATTTTACTAATCCAAACCATCTATTTTGTAGATACTCATTCAAAGATCATCTCTACAAAAAATCACTTGAATCCGATATTATTTGACCCTCAATAGAGTTCTTGAAATTTTAATACTTTCTTGAAGCGCTATGTTCATTGATTTTGTATGACACAATTGGATGTCGAAACGGTGTCCGATTTGTCTAATTTTTTGCAAGGATGATCTATAAATATAGACTTAAAAAATAGATGGTTTATATCGTTGAAAATAAATTCGTAGGGTACTCTAAAGTGTCCCTAAAATAAAATTATAAGAAGAATCCCTCAATAAAAGGGGACTATATATATATATATATATATATGTGTGTGTGTGTTAAAAATCTCATGCATGAGGCTTACGGCTTGATGTTGTTGCCGTGAAAAGACCATGTTGATAATATGTGCAAATAATAAATATTAGTACAAGAAAGATGATTTACCAGTTGGGTGTAGCACACCTCTAGAAGGTTAGTCTCGTTACGTCTTTGGTGCCTGTTTGGACTTATAATACATGCGCCAGCCCAATTGATTATTGGCATATGTCAAAAACAGAAGCTTGGGCTTTGTTTATTGAAGTCAGAAATCAGCCCAGATAGTTTTAGGGGCCTAGACCTTTGTAAACCAATTAGCAAGAATTAAAATCACATATTAAAGATTAATTGCCATTAAATAGTGATTTAATTCGGACAAGTCAGTTTCTAATTGATTTTAAGATTAGGCCCAGCTTCAAATCTCTCCAAAGGCCCAAAAATTTGGTCGTCACCGTTAATCTCAATTCCAGAGTTCAAATCAGCAGATATTTTGGAAGATCTTTCTCTCAGAAGAAAGCCCATGTGACTCTCAAAGTCAAAGTTTTCAACTGAGGCAGAGGAAGTGATGGGAAGTAGGAAAAATGGATTAATCAGAAGAACACTCATAACCATTTAAATACCAGAAAATGGGGGCCAAAAGTGTCCTTTCTATGCTCGTGAGGGCACTCCATCAGAACAGGTTGTGTTTACAAGAAATAAAAAGGAGACAAGGAAGTGATTCGTCAGAAAAGCAAATAGACCATCATAGAAATTGATTGTTGATGTTTTGGTTTGTTTTTTGTCAGAATAATAACTCCCTCTTTTTGCGTTGGAAAAGGAAAATCCTTTCAAAAGATCTACCCTCCCCGATATTAAAGATATTAAACCCTCATTCAGATTCTCTATAAATATGAGAAGAGGTAAACAGGGTTAGACACATCCAAAAATTCAATTAAAACAAAAACTCTCAAAGTCATACTGACAAATTCAAAACAAGGTAAGTCGATCTCAAAAGTCTTCCGACTCTGAAGCAACCAAACTCTTTGATTTATAACAAACAAGTCAGCCAGAACTCAGGTTTCTGACTTCTGTTCAATTTAAAGAAGTAGTTTACAAAGGAAACAAGATTTTTATCGTTACAAATTTGGCAGCATAAGCCAAATCAAGCAGAATTCAGGTTTTTCATAATATGAAAACTTCAACAAATTTACAAAGATGCCTTAGTCTCCCAAAATTGCTAGAATAGCTCTTGGATGATTCATAATCAAGCAAAACATGTACTGTAGTGCAGCTACAATTCAGCAATCATCAATTCAGCCACTTCCAGCCCCGTCCAAAATGAAGAAATCTCAATTTTGCCCATCCAGCAAGCCTCCCCATGGCTAGAATAGATTAAAGCTCTACCAATCTCGACATTGGTATCAATTTTCAGCTGAATCTCATCAATTGAAGGTGCTGATGTTTGAATCCAGCATAGATACATCCAGTCCAGCATGAGTCACATGCAACAATTCAAGCAGAAATCGAAGCCCAATGTTCTGTTGTCCCTTTAGACATGGCAGTCCCCTTTTCTTTTAAGGTCGTGTAAATAGGCAATTTTTCTTAAAACAATTTGATTTATTTTCAATATTCATTTTGGCCTGAACTACTAGTTTACTGTGAGAAATTGTGAAGTCCTCACCAGTCTGAGGCAATAAAAGAACTTACTTGGGAGATATTCTTCACCCAAATTCACAATTATTTGTTTAAAGTCAGTAAATTGGGACTCAAGTTATCCATTTTCATAAGTCTGTTAGGGTTTTTAAACTGCTAACAGTGGCACGCTCATACACCCAAGAAAGTAGACTTATTGACCACAAATGATTCTCAAGCTAATGAGGAACTTTGCCCTTCCATCACAGAACTAAATCGAAACGAGTAAACAGTGCCCTTCCAGTCGAGATGCAGCTGAAAGTGTTATGAGATTGGGTGACTAATAAAATGGGGTAATTTGGATAAGAAGGTGTGACTGGAAGGATGCACTGGTTCTTCTTGAAGAGGAAAGCTTGATAGAATAATTAATCTCAAAGATAAAATTGACTTTGGCTGGAAAGGGATAATGAAATTATTGAAAAAGGCCATATGGCCCTTTGTTGTTTTGTTGCGGACAAGAAGAATGCAAATTGGCCAAATTAATATATATTATATTATGCGCACAATGGCCATATATGCATACATGTTAAATATATATATATATAATGATTGTTTATTTAAAAAAATTAAAACTACTTGCCATGTAATATTTAATTTCAACCATTGAAAGTTGAGTAATCTAATGGCCCAAAAATTATGTCAAAATTTGTGTCAAAAACGTAGTGCCACGGATCTCATGGCTTGATCCAAACAAAGGCCAATTATTGGCCTCTACTATTCTATAATATATATTTTTTACCATGCCAAGTGTTATGGTGAATTCTCAGTACGTAGATGAGTTTTTGAAGCCAAAATGACCCGAATGGCTTCTAGCAAGTTCTAAGGCCTTACGGCCTGATGCTCTAAAA